TTAGGGGGAGTCGACCCGGAGGTTCCTGCCCGCAGCGCATTTGTTTTCTCTCTCGGCAGAGCAGTATCTTGACAGGACCTCGGGTGATTAGCAGAGAGTTAGTGTCTTTTGTCAGGGACTTGGAAGGGACATCTGAAGATTTTGTTTCCCCCTGCCCTCGGCGGGCTCAGGGCGGGGGCTTTTCTCCTCGTGGCTTTGGACTCATTTTTGCTTGCTGTCCTGGAGCCTGGCTGTGTCTGCCCATGGGTGGTGAGATCCTGTCTCATTTGTTCTGTTTTTCTGTTCTTTTAATTACTTATTAGCAGTAGCATTGTTAGTAACTCTATAAGTTTCATTTATGTAATTAAATAGTTCTTATCTCAACTTTTTACAAGCCTCCCTTGTTATTTTTTCCTCTGACCATTCCTTACTGGGCGTGGGGCAGGGTGGAGTGGTAGAGCGACTGGTGGTGCTTAATTGCCTGACAGTGCTAAACCACAACACTGAGTAAATGCTTCTGGCTGCTGACAATGCTCAGTGGCTCAACTCCTACCTTGTAACTAAATCCTGGGCAGAAGTCATAACCCAAACCTGTGGTTGCCAAGCTTTTCACTGGCAAATATGCATACTGCTTTCATTCCACCCTACTAGAAACTGAATTTCAATTCCATTTTAAATGCTGCGGTCCTCATCTTGGGAACCACCTTTTGGCCTGAGTTTCTTTCAGGACTCAATCCATTAAGCGGTTGCACAGCATGCACAATGTAGTTTAACATGGATGGGTGTTTAATTTTCCCCTCATGCGAATTTCTCCCATCTCTGAACAGTTACGATGAAAACTGCTAGCGTGGTGGCGACCACATTCTTTTATGCTGTATTGCAGCTGTCCCGCTTTACATGGAATATATAAAAACCTCTTTTTTCAGATCAAAAAATGAGCAAAAGAGAAGTGCAATATTGGTGTGGGTTCGTAATTACTTATCTAGGATAAGGAAGATAGGGATGCTTACCCCTCCTACAGAAAGTATTTAGACATTTTCTCCTCAACGGCCGTTCGAATCATATTTACTCACATCTTTAAAAGAACAGGAGGAGCTAAAAATAATCAATCTCTGAAAAAAATTATACTCGTAGGTATATTAACCTTGATAAAAGGTCTGCCAACTTTTACAGATCTTACCATAACTCTCTCAACCATGTTTTCTCCAAAGACAAAATCAGGAGTGCTGCTGTTTCGTACACTTCGGTCTTCAAACAACTCATTTCTGTGGAAACAAAAAAAGATGATTGTGATTCAGAACTATATAGAACGTTGTACAGAATATAACCAAGTTCATGTATTTCCTTTAACACACCTGTGCCAGTTTCACAGATGCTTTTCTTCACAGTACGGACAACTGGCCCAGGGTGGCTGAGGGAGTGATTCATTCAGTGGACTCCCACTACTCAGGACCTGGCTATGTGTTGGTTGGTGGTTGGTGAGCAACTGTACGTATGTTTTATTTTCTATTTTTTAATTAATTATTATCAGTAGTATTGTTAATATTAGTAGTATCACCATAGTTTTCATTTATATTCAGTTATGAAGTAGTTCTTATCTCAACTTTATAAGCTTCCTTGTCTTTTCTTCCAACTCTTCTCCTCCACTGGGGGAGGGAGGGGAGGTGAGCGAGCGGCTGCATGGTACTTTACTGCTAGCCAAGGTTAAACCACAACACCTTTAATTAAAAGCACACAAAAACATGACCGCTTAAGTAATCTGACAAATCCTGTAGGAGGATCTGAGAATATTCTCTATGTAACATGTCACAAAATAAAGTATCACACTGTATTTCATGAAGATTATTGAGGATGTTCCTTAAAAGCAGAGAACAAGATGCAAAACAACATGTCTGCCTCTCCTGAAGGAAGTGTCTTACTCCAGAAATTTTAATGAATTAAATTTGTTTCCCTCTCTCCTTTTGCTCCACAAAAGACTATCAACAATTAACAATTATTCCTTCATGTTGGTGCAGCTCTGATAGCCTTCAGAATAATGTACTCCCTAGTGTACATGCACTCCTTGGTCATCCACCTAACATCCTGGAAAGGCAGAGAGGCAGTGTATTCTAATGCACCTGTATTCAATTCACGTAAGTACTGCACAAAATGTAAAGGTATTGTTACTGACCAGGTGTTCTTTCTGTGTGTTAAGCTGACAAGTCGAGGTGTCAAACATTAACTCTTGGAATAATGAGACATTTTTCTGGGTGTTAAGCTGTTTTGCCTAGACTCTGTTTTTCACTGTTTTTTCTGGGTGTTAAGCCATTCTGGCTATGCTCTGTTTTAGCTATGTTTTTCTATGCACATTGCTAATTTAGTAAGAAAATTCAAGGTTTGGAAGATTTGATAACAAGAGATGGTTCTCCTTGCTAATAAAAAACAGGAAGGGTACATGCTTGTTAGTTCCTCAGCATTATCGTTGTAAGCTAAGAATTGTTTTGGTAAATCAGCAAATGTTAAAAATCTTGTAATTTTTGCAAACTCTGCTCATTATAAACTTGTTATAATACTAAAAATGAGGCCCATAGGTCAAAAAGACCCTTGCCCAGGGGAAGACCCTTCCCCTTAGCATATGCAATAGTGTAAGTAATGTGTCAGCAGTATTGTAATTACATGTAAATTACTAATCAGTCATTGTAAAGGGGGTGGACTGAGAAAACTACTAATCCTGAAAGTTTTGTGTATAAATGCAGCATGAAGAACCCTGTTTTAGTGTGTGTGCCAGGAGGAGATACCCCCATGCACCCAGCGCTGGGGGTATATCCCTTGGTTTAGAGAGTTTTCTTGGTTACAATTTTTGGTAACAGTATGATTGCAGATGGCTTATGATGAGGTTTAAGATAAATGGGAAAGAAAGATCCTCTTCCATTTTTCAATGACCTGTTCTATAGATATACTTAAAATGACAGGTGAAGAAAACTAAGTTCTTGCAGTCCTTTGGTACTGGCCAACCATAGTTTGGGGATACAGATTTGGGAGAAAATTTCATATGGTCGATAAATCACATTTAGGATCTGGAGTGTGATTAGTTTTGGTAGAAGCTACATTAGAGCAGTACTTGTCCTCTTCTCTTCTGTCCCCTTTTTACCATCTCAGGTTTTCCATATAAACCCATTAATTTCTTCTTTTGCACTGCCACCCTGAGTTTAAGTACTCTCAGTTAGCCTCTTACCCCTCAGAAGGTTTTAAGAGAGGGTGAATGGCTTTTTAAATAGTGACACAGTCACAACTAGTAAAAAGTGTATTACTTGCAAGAATATTCTAATATGAATTGTGATTTGACCTGCTAATTACATAGCCACTTTAAATTAACAGGATACATTTTTTCAGAAAAAGTAAAAAAGTACTTTTTCTCTAGAAAAGTACTTGTAAACTTCTTTGGAAGGAAGTTGTTCCTGCTGCTATCAGTTTGTTTTGTTTTGAACAAAAGTCTTATAGGTTGTTCATGCTTTCTGTAGAGCTTAATCGTTGTAGCTCTTGCTAGCAAAGGCAAAGCCATCCAAGTTCTTGCCTCTTTCGATCTGATGTTCTGTCACAAACTGCATACTTCAGCATCACTTACCTGCTTTTCCAGATCATTTATCACCCTTGGAGGGTCTTAACGGCACATGTGTCATGCAAAGGATATTTCTATTAATAAGCTGGGTTTGTTGCCAGAGGTTTGATGACTACCTCGAAAACTTAGTTTCTGTGTTCACAACTTTAGTGTGCTTGAAATCTCTTCACAAAGGACGAACAAGCTATCTCTATTTTACACTTAAGGAAAAAAATATTCCTTAACATCCTCATGCTTGATGTGCTGCTAAGACTAAGAGCAAGAAAGAAATCAGAAACTCTATCTCTTTTCAGCCCGGAAGCCTTTCACACATGTTGTGGGCCATGAACAAGGAATATGAAGTGTGTTTAATGAGTTTCTTATCCTTAAGAAAAATCCCCACTAAAATTCACTGAACTCTGATCAGTTTCCACCGTGAAATTACATCTGCTACTTCCAGGCTGCTCCAGTAGCAACTTAGTAAGGACAGCACTCCAGAAGAGCCAAACCCCAGAAATGAGAGCCTTGTCTTAAATAAATAATGTAGGAAGTGGATTTTGATTCTTTTCAGAAATGTTAAGAAAAAGTAATCAGTGCAGGATCTTCTTTTACCAGACAGTTAATTGGAAGTGCCAGCCTTAAAGTCGTCTTGAAATCTCAATACCCTTACGTTGCTGCAGGACAAGAACAAAGTGTGCCAAGGATGCTATTGCCATGGAGATGCAAAACAGAGGCACTGAATTCAGGGAATGGCTACTAACAAAGAAGTATAGGAGAAGAAATGCAGGTAAGATACTGGAAATGGACTACAGAAAGGGAGTAAGTAGATCCAGGTACTGTCCTTTTCAAAGTGCCCAGAAGTAGCCAAAGTGCCTGAGTAGCTGCCAGTCCCCTTGAACTCTTACACTTTTCCAAGCAAATCCTTGTGCAAAGCTGAATACATGACCAGAAGCCTGCATTTTCCCAGCACTATACTGCTGTCACATCAGACACAATCCCCCTTCCAAGCTTTTAATAGGACTTGAGAAACTGCAAATTTCTCCTTTTCAGTTGGTTACTACAGCCAGTTCAGGACATTGAACTGTTGGTGGTTTCCTGGGACATGGACAGCTGCAGCAACCGTAGAGGGCTAGCAAACCATACTCATTTCTCTCTGTACAGATCCTTATCACATATTGAAGAGGTGGAAGAGAAGGGAAAGTAAGAGGAATGTTTGCAGGCAGCAGCAATCCCTGCTGTTGAGTCTCTCTGCATTTTATTTTTTGTAGATAAATGTCAGTAGTTACACCTTGATTGATAATTAAAAACAAACCTTAAAAAAAATCTTTTTTCTTAGCAATAAGCAGGTCTGGCTACAGTGTTCCCTAGTGTTTAGCATATATATGCAGGGTAGTGAAGTCGTTTGTTTGAATACTTGTTGTCAAATTACCTATAAGAAAACAGCTATGCCAAAAAGTATTTTAAAGCATCAGTCATTTCATACGGATCAGAAGAATGGCACTTACGTTACCCTGCTGTCTCAGAAGAGCAATAAGCACCCAGGTGTTTTTAAATTATTCAACTTGTCAAACCAACATTTACCACAACTGCAATATACAGAATTTATGAGGCACAAATATTCCAGGCAGATTAGCAATTATTCATTTGAGGAAGAAAAGGAAAAGAAACACCATATGCACTTACAAGTCTTCTAACTTGTCAGCGCTGAAATGCTGCATTGCATTTCTCTATCTACTTCACAAGAGAAAGCCACTCACCTTTTTCCTAAATCACATGCTGGTGACAGAAGGTAAACAGACCTGTGGTATCAATACCAACTGATTTTGAAGTCAGTACCATCTTCGCTTTAGCTGTTCCAGTACGTGCAGTACCATCATTCTGAATCTGCTAACAATCCAGTGTGCTGTGTGGCTCCATGTTGTCCTCACAGGGCATCGTCACAGCAATAATTGTCATAGAAAAGGATAGGTGGGCTCTTCCAAAATCACAGGGAGTATCTGCCCTCCAATCATGCTCTTCTTATTGATAAGGATTAAGAATCTGTCTGTGCATCTAAAAAACCCTTATCTCCTCAGAACCCCTGCACTCTGCATCCCAAATGATTTGTGCAGGAATCCTTATGTGTGGCACATCCAGCCCTGAAGAAGACCGGAATTGACTCCTTTGCAGTTAACGTGTTCTCTGCCCTCTTTGGGTGGGAGAGGGAAAGGAGCAAATGCATTCACTATGGCTCAAGCAATTTTGAGATGCCCTTCTGTCATCCTAACTGATCTCAGGTGTATTCCTGATGCTCACAGCTTCCAAGTAAACAACCCTCATCAACCATCAGCAAGCAGAATTAATACCCACAAGATAACATGCTGGCTAACCACAGACCTAACATTCTCGTGAGCCAGTCTCCAGAGAGAGGTAATAGACCACTTGTGCACCAGTATGAGCTCTCAGTCGTACACAGAGGCAAGGGACTTGGCCAATGTCCTAGTCCAAGGAAGTCAGCATCCTCATGCAGAAAGTCTGTGCTGGTCAACTCATGTCTGCACGAAGAGACCGCCCTACCACAGTCACCACAGCTAGTTGTTCATGCCACAGATTTTGGCGCGTGCACAGAAGTAAAGCATCAGTTGCAGCATTCACCCTGTCTTCCCCATCAGTCCTGTAAAGTATTCTTCTTGTCTCCTGTGCCCAATATGCTGACATATTTTGGTAATTCCTGAGTTTCTCTGCATCCGTTTATGAGATGCAGCAGCTATGCAGTCAGAAGAGAGTTCTCCAAAGGGACACAAAGCTGACTGTAAACATTCAGAACTGGGACGTATTTTGAGCTGCCAAAGTTGCATGAGGTAGCAGGCCAAACTAGTTTCTGGCTTGGAGTGTTGCTAATGAGAAGCAAACTGTCCCACAGAAGGTAATTCACAGCAGGAGTCCATTTCTTATGGCATACGGAGCTCATGTCAGTACCCACAAATCCTGGCCCCACACACAAACACCAGTGAGCGCTGTGTGGGTGTAGATCGCAATGGGCTTCATAGCATGTTAGACATGTCAGACAAAAGGGCATGCCATGGGCCAAGTGACAAAATGGTGTAGAAACGTAATAAATAAAAACTTACGGTGTTGATAGAGAGCTAGAAAGACTCATGGTAGTAGATGACCTCGCTGCTGTTTTGGAACTTAGTGAATTCTCAGCTGAGGAATAACAGCTGTCTTCAGATAGCTAGGAATAATAAACCTGGATTAATTAATTAGACCAAGCTTATTTTCTGCTATAAACAGATGTGCTAGTGGTTCAGAGCCACTGAGGTGTGTATATATATACATGTATGGTAGTTGGCAGAGTTCCCTCCAGCCGTGTACTAAGCCAGTACCCTTAATTAATTGCTAAAATCTACTTTCTAAATAAACAAAATCCAAAAGACCCCCAAAGCTGATTTGCCCACAGAACCCTGATATTTGGAAGTTGAGCTAGCCTGCAGAGAAGAGACGTTTTTCCAAACACAGTCAGCATGAATTTAACAATTCACACCCTGTCAATGATCCAACAATTTCACCGAAATGGATATGGGAACTTCCTTGAAAATCATGCAGTGGCATTATTAACTGTTTTAAAATAGCACTTGGGGTTTTTTGGTTTAGGTTTTTTTTAGTCTGAGCTGCAAACATATATCAGACAGTAAAATTACTTTTCTTTTTTACCTGAACATGAGCTTTTTTCTTAGCTACTAGAGATTCCACAGGATTTTCAGGGTAGGTATGGGCTTGTGGGCGTTGTAAAATGGCAGGTCTAATGACATTCCACAGTTGACTTTGTGACAAGGATCCTTACAAAATACAAAGACAAAATATTTAAACAGAGACTTTTTCTCTACATCTAATTCATACCTGCAAGTCTTGCCTCTTTAACTAAAAGCTTCAAAGCATATTTAAATAACATTAATGGTTGTTTACTTGCTACATGTTCTGAAGAATTGGAATCCCTTCTGAAATACACAACTGTGCAGTGACACCAACCCTTGTTATCCCATCAGAATAAAAAGGTAATGTGTTATATTCAAAAATACTTATTTAAATTTATAAAGTATATTTATTTATGTATTTAAGAACATATTTATAGTTATATTTACTGCTTTGTGTTAGTCCTGTCTTCTGGTACGTCAGATTTAGTCCTGCACCTGCAGAAGCCAATAAGGTTCTTCACTGCCTGCTCCAGAAGCAGAGTTATTCAGTAGGAAATGTGGAATTTCACTATTCAAGGTTTTATTCAGTGCACTTAGTAATTAAGTAGTCAGAGCAGAGGCTCAGAACTGAGCTTACAGGACAGTTATACTGTCAAACAAATAACTTATGAACCTCATAAAGATACTTAGCCTATCACTCAGCACAGAGAAGAGTTGAATTCTGTATCTGTTAAGAATATCTTTGTGGAACTACAGTAAACAAATATTTCAATGACAGTTACCTTCTCTTGTAGTTTCAGTCAAGTCAGGGTTTCTTTGAAGAAGAGCTGAGGTCATGAATATGTTATTCTTCTTAACTACAGAACAAGGAATTTAAACTTTAATAATGAGTAATAAAAAAAATAATAACTATTAATTCATGTTGCTGTAACCCCTCCCTATTTCGGTAGTACCTGAGAATATTCCAAGCTACCCATCTAAGATCTCCAAGATAACTGTTACGGTCTCTATTTTACAGGTGGGTAGACTTAGGCGCAGAAAGCACCGTGCGTTTTCTGGCTGTGTCAGAGACAGAAGCCCTCTGGATATTAACAGATATTTTAAACTTGTAAAATCCTTCTTCAGCTTTGAAAACGAGGTGCTGCTGGTTTGAAAAAGCCATTGAAATGACAATGCTATCTGGTCCAGTTTTAGATTTTTAAGATGAGTAAATCAGTCCCAAGAAGATGGGAATAAATGAATGTGCTGTGCCCTGTTCTGGTAAAATGCTGTTGTAACTTACCATAGTGATGGCAGCGCATACTGATGCTTTGACTGTTTTAATAAAGATACCGAACGCCAGCCAGGCAGTGATGGCAACCATGTACCACCTCCCGTAAAATGACACACTGATACTCTACACACAATCACTACTTTTTCACTCTACACGGCGTGTGGTTTGTTGCTGTAACAATGTTGTGTCCTCTTAAGATTGTTTAGAAATCCTTTATGCCAATGTCTGTCAAGGATCTGTCTCTGGTAGAAACACGGACTAAGATTTAACACCACTCCATCGTTCCCATTAGTAGGAAGTGGGAGAATACTCCCAGGGTCACTAGTTAGGTAGAAGACAGGCTCCTAGGATAAAAAATTATATTCTTACAGGAATCATTAAATTATAAGCAAACTAATAATGTAATAATTGTAAAAAACTCCACTCTGTTTTTTTCAAGTGTAATTTGTACCACACTGTGTAAATGCCTACTTGCAAATTATTCAGAGACTCCTCCCCAGCACTGCAGGATTCCCTAACAACAAATGCACAGGACATTTCTTCTGTTGAACTGCCAGTCCTCCTCCTAAAACATTCCTTTCTCCCGTCCAAATACCAGCCTAGTCCAATGCGCTCCAGCTCTGTCCTGCAGAAAAAACATTTCTGTACACCTCTCTATTTTAGCTAATGCCTGCTTTTCCACATAAATATTTATTGTTTGGGTTTTGGCTTTTTGGTGTTTAGGGTTTTTTTTTTTAATTACCTGGCTGGGAGGGAGGGAAGGTGGGAAGCATGGTAAAGGAAGACGATCTCCCTCTTTTCTGAGTGAGAGTTGTATCTGAAAGCATAACAGACTGAATTTTAAAAAACAATTACTTTTAAGGTTGGCCAATTTGATGTCATGCCTTCACTGGCAGTAGCATAAATTATTATCTGCTAACTACCACCTTTCTGAAGTAGACTGTTAGGTTATTTCTATACTGCTGAATTGGCGAGGCCTCTGAGGCCAAGCAGTACAGTCTGGCTCAGGCACACTGCTTACGTCTGGCACACTCTAACAGTTCTGCCCCAGAGACTGCCAGTTGGAGAGGTTCAAACTCTTTCCACAAACCAGAGAATCTCATTCCTTTCCAGCCCTCCTCCCTTGACCGTGTCAGCAATTCAAGGAAACAGGAAACATTACTACTTTATGTAATAGTAAGTATGGAAAATTAATATATTTTAAATGTAAAAATGGTTTTATTGGCAATTACCAGCAAGTTTATATCAGTGTTTAAGTCTTCATGATGTACAGCATTTCTACAGTCCAGACGTGTTTTAGACAGTAAAATTCCTTCTCTTCTTTACCAGCTGAGAATACAAAACTACAGTAATTAAAACGTGACTGGAGCTACACATCATACCTGTGTTAGACCGAGAGTCAGACTTCTGGAAAGTAAAAGATGATGATCTTGCACGCTTTCTGGAGCAACTAGTGAAATCTAGAGAAAAATAAGTATCATGTTCTGGCAGGAGGTTTCATCCCAATGTTATGATGTGGAATTAAAATCTCAACACGATAAATTCTAGGAATGACTTACAGGAACAGCTTTAAGGCAGTACCTAAGAGCACGAGGGCTTTGGAATCTGTCAACACCTGGCACAAAGCCCTAGGGAGTCATCTTCATTTCTATTAAGTTCAGGGAACCTTAATCAAGCACTTAGAATCAGTTCAGAGCCCACAGGCTCAGCAGACTAAGAATGAGAAACTATATATAATGTAGCCTAAAGAAATAAAAAAGGGGCAGCTAGGAGTTCATACCGCTGATGACTATACTTGGCCACTTTTCAGGGTTTCTGGAGTTTGGCTTTCTAGCAAATAAGACAGGTAAGATGGGAGGATTCTTGAGGTTAGACAGGGATATATATATTAGGACACAGTAGGCACCTCCACAACCCACATGGACTTACATCTATTAACAAGGATTTGTCCCTGCTCACACAAAACAAGGGTCCAACCACTGCTTTCACAGCCAACAGTCAGATCTCAAAAAACCCCAGTATATTACACTGTTTCAATGAGGTGGTGATTACCATTTTCAGCTTTGCAAACTGGGTCTTCTGCAGGCCGCTGGAAAAAAAAAATACAAGCATGGAAAGGTCAAGGAGAATAGATCAACCATTTTCTAGACCATAACACAAAGTATATCAATCCAGCATATATCATAGAATCACAGAACGATTTGGGTTGGAAGGGACCTTACAGACCATCTAGTTCCAACCCCCTGCCATGGGCAGGGACACCTTCCAC